AAATAAATTTGAGATTTAGTAGTTATAATTGATACTTTAAGCGGGTATGGTACACCATTGCATTATTTTATGGTTCTCTGCTTAAGCAGCTATAATATTTTTGGTCTAGTAATACTTATATAAAAAAAATGTCTTTAAATTAAAAAAATTAAAGTAGTGCTTAAAGTAGTAAAGCTAACATGTCCAAAACTGTATAATATATTCGTATTGTAGGTTTTTCCTAAAAACTGATGATGCATCGAGGGATATTATAATAATAATACCTGTCCAGAATTATACAACATATTCGTCTGGTTGGTTTGTCATAAAAACTGATGATGCATCAAGGGATATTATAATAATATACCTGTAGATATTTTTGGAACATCAAACGCAAATATATAATAATTTTGTTAAAATACAATCTTAATCTCTTATTAGATGTATATATCTGATATATCACTGATAACTTAACTTACGTATTATATTTATATCTGGAAACTGGACCAAAAACATCCCATACCCCCAGCGAGGGCATAAGAAGTGAGAGATGTAGGGAGAACAAGTCCAAGAGCGTCGGGACCATAAAGATAAGATTAGCACACGATTCGCAACGTTCGCAGCTGTTGTCGGCATCTCGGGAGTTGGACTTCGATTTCTTTGTTTTCGGATTCCAGACAGCGGCCAAAATGTTAGTGCACCGCAAGTCAATGAAATTTGCATACATAACAATTCAGAAAATCACGAAAAACATGCCTTCTTAAAAGCTGACTAATTAGTGTTGTTTATACCCGCACATCTTATTTGTCTGCACTTCCATTTTTCCTTGGCTGTAGCTGACTGCTCATTTTAATGAAATTCGTTCAATGTTCTGCTGCGTTTTTATCTCTGACTCGTTTCGGTTTTCCTTTTTTTCCCGTTGAGTCAGGTTCATCCTCTGAAATCTACCTCGTTCTTTATATTCGGTCGTGCCCCACATGCGTAACCCATCATAATGCCGCACATCAAGATACATTTGTATCTGCTAGAGCTCTGGCGCATGTGTAAATATTTTTTACGAGCCCTTTTCCCATCCCATTTTGTATCAATGGCTTTCGAGGAGTTGCGAGGATAATCGCGAACCAGGCTTTTCTTCTTTTGTGTTTGTGCGGGTGCTTTAAATGCGCCTTTTGATGTGTGAAGCGTGCCTGGGCACTGGGGTCGATGGTATTTATGGGCCTAAGGTCAATGCTGAATAACCCGGCACGATCTCAAGTCCCACACACTCCGCAAGCACTTGGGCCTATGAGTCAAGGTCGAGGGTGCCAGAGTTTATCACTTGAATGCAAAAGCAGGGTAGAGATTTTTGGGTTCCACAGATACCGGAGGCAATAGATATTTTTTATTTTCATTAGTTATTGATGTACTTTATTTGGTATCTCAAAATCAGTTTAAGTGATGTGCTTTTATTTCAACCAAAATAGTTGTTTTAAAAAAATAATAAAATATAGGTATAATAAAAATTCAATGAGATTTCTACGTGACATTCCATTGAAACGCAAAACGAAAGAAATGGGTAATTGTGCATAATTATTTATGAATCCGTTTAAATTATCCAAAAAATGAAGTTTCGCCAAACGGCGGTTACAACAACAATTAAGTACCATTAAAACTGCTGGCTGAAAACAAATTGAAATTAGTTTCGGCTAATGGCAATTAAAAGCTGCGCATAAATGCAAAATTGTAAATTGCATTAATGCTTAATTCTTTGTAAATGTTTGCAGTTTTTCGTTAGCGGAAGAGAAACAAAAAGTAATAAAAACTGAAAACGCATAACAAATTTGCGCATTCAGAAATAAGTAGGTTTGGGCTACTGTGGCGCATGTGTTCAAAGTCTGAATGGTTTTACAAATCTTTCGGAAAATAAAAAATGAATAGAATGACGGTATAACTAAGTTCGTGAAAGTAACGCTTAAATTCTTTATAATGTGAGTTAGCATATTAAGTAAGCAACGCTAAGTAGAGGAATGCACATAAAATATCAACTTAGTTGATCTACTTTAATTAATTTCTGAAGCAATTATCATTTATTAATAACTATAAAAAATATTAAAATCAATTAAAGTTGGTAATGAAGCAACTGCAATACTTAATAAAAAATATTTTTTTTTTCAAGTTTAATAGTTTCTTAATTCTGAGAACAAATAAGTGCTTTAGGGCTAATAAATAAAATGGCTTGTGAAATATTTCAAAGCATAATTTACAATGGGATTTATAAAGAATAATAATATTTTATTTTACTCTAGCAGCACGTGGTAATGTTTAAACAATCTGTTATATAATCGACTAAAATATGTTGTGCTGTAAATGTAAATGTAACTACGGGATCTGTTTATTTTGTATATACACATTGCTGAAATTTTGCTCACCTATTTGGCATATAATTATTATGTCAGATCATATCACGTTGGAAGTTTTCAGCAGGAAATTAAATGCAATTTAGCGAGGACTTAAACGCTGGACGGCTTTTCGTGCTAACTTCAGGTGTATCTGTGTGTGTATCAGGCTGTATCTATGTGAGGGCAGAGGTGTATTTGTGTGCGGGTGAAAGGGTGTTTCAATTTAAGCTCTGCGGCATTTTCCGTTTGCAGGCATTTCCTGGTTGGGAAAAGGAGGGATGTCACCCACTTAAAATTTTCAGTGTGTGTGCGAGCGTGTGTGTATATGAGGTGGGAATTAATTATGCAGGCATATCATGGCTACTCCTTTCTCTTTCCCATCCACTTTCACCCCCCCCCACGCACCCACACACTCAAACAGTAGCATCCTTTCCGTGTGCGGTTTTAATTTGTGAGCCCGTGCCCGTGCATTTTGCCTGATCCTTTTCCTTTCCGCTGTTTGCCATTGCAATTTCCCCCAGCCACGCCCACTTGCAGCGGCCCCTTTGCCACGCCCACCAGCCGCCGCCCATCGCTTGCTGCCAGTTGGGAAATTTCCTTGTTTTTTTTGTTGTTTCAGCTGCCCCTGCGTTGTTTGCATTTCCGTGTGATTTCACTTGGCTGGCAGAAATCGATGAATGGCGCCCTTTGGGAGAGCGACTCCTCGAGAAAAGCACTTTAAGGTCCCGATCCCATTGGGCGGAATTATCCGGGAGCCGGCATTCATTGCAGTTTTAATTGATTTCATTTAGCTGTTCCTTGCTTTATCACCCATTGCCACTCACGCTTAGTGCAGCCACTTTGGCCAAAAACCCCATGATTTTCAAACTAAAAAATCCTTCAATGTTTTTAATAAAGGAGCCTATTCGTATTCATCGACTATTTAACCAAAACCTTTTACAAGCCCAGGTAAAAACATCTAAATCTAATAAGACCATACAAAGTTTAAGACCAAAATTCTAAGTTTTATATTCCAATTAGAATTTATGACGTAAAATAAAAATGTTTTTTGTGTTTTCCTGCCAAATTCTACATTAAAATTTGTATTGCTAACCAAGTGGGGGTTACAAGTTTCTCGTAAATAATATTTCAATAAAATGAATGAACAATAAGAAATTAATATTATTTCCAAGTTAATTTAGTGTTAATATGAAATTTTAGCAACAGCTCCTTCTTTTGTGTTTACCATGTTTTATTAAGAATTATAATACATATTCGTTTTGGTTATTATTTTAGCTAAGGTTCTTTTAATCGATGTAATATAAATTATTTTAAGGCGTGATCAAATGGTCAAAGTCCATTTTTTTTTGTCGTACTAGCTCTCCAAGCCTATCGGTATTTCCTGCTCTGGGGGTAGTTCATCCGTTACGGAACATCACGATAAGAGATTTCCTCAAACTATTCTCAAAGCCAAAAATAGTCAAACGTCCAAAACTTTCTAACGATAAGGGATATTGATGAAAGACATGCCGTTTGGTGACGGGTCGATTGTGGGTTGTTTCGGAAATTCCGTCGGTGGCAGATTTTGTGCCTAAGCAACTGTTGCTTTTGGTATCGTGCAGTCAAAAAATTTTATAATTTGATGTTTTAAAAATGGAATTAATTCACAAATAAGCTTAAAATTCTCAAGAACTAAAAAAAGTAAAATAACGAAACACCAAAGGCAGACTAATACTTATATCACTAATAAGTATATACTACTCAACATTTAAAAGTCGACAATAAACCAAACAAGCCAAAATAATTTATTTTATTGGAAAAAGAATTTAACAATTTTAATATTCTCATAAATTGAAAAACAAAACAGAAAGAAATGTATTTCTATACCTTTACTAAGAATTCAAAGAAATATGAAGTCATGTAGTTATAATAAAAGAATTCGCCAAAACGACAGAGCTAAAAGGTAGGAACTAAATGAGCTTATCTCCGCTGCGGTAGCGTCGTCCGTCGGTAGGTGGCGCTATCATCCTCGTTAGCCCCTCTGGGTGCACTCCACTTATAAATTCTATAAATTTTAGATCATAATGTGACCAGCACCCATCCCGTTGTGCGTCAGTGTGTGTGTGGGGAAATTACATCTGTGTTACGGTGCAGGTGGGTGGCGAGTGTGTGGCAAGTGGGTCTAACAGCAAGGTAGTATTTGTTATGCATTTTCATTAGTACAAACTTTTCAGCTTAGACGCTGTCATTAGCACAAAATTGGCTCCCAAAATGGGTCCGCAGGTTGCAATCAGAAAGTTCATAGGGAGATATCAGGAGGCTAGGTAAAAAGGGGTATACTTAATTTATTGGGAGCACAATTACTCATAAAAAAAGCTATTGGCAGAGCTTTTTAAACCTGTTTTCTGTTTCTTTTTAATATTTCTTATTATTATTTTATTATTTTTTTTTATTACTTTAAATGTGTTCAGAGAAATTGTAAATCATTTTAAAAAACAACATTTAAGAGTTATTTCCAGCAGCCTTTTAGTTGCAATTTGTATTTTCCCCACTTGACTTTCGCTAGCTGGAACTCATTAGACCGACTCCTTTAGCGCCTGCCTGGTAATTAACACCACCTCGTACATGTCAAAACCCCCTTCGATAGTGAAAATCATAAATTTTATATTGTTGGGATGTTTTTTGTTCACTTTCATATTTATTTGGATTTTTGCATAGTAATAATATGTTTCTTTTATTAGTATTGGTTTGTTTTTCAGCTTAACGCTTACATTCGTTTTTTATACATTAAAATTTATGCTAAAAGTTGTAAATAAAATCATTTTGAAATGTAATCTTTCGTATATTCTGCTTGGTATCTTGTGATAGCTTCTATTAACAATTACACAGATTTATTGAAATTTATTCACGTCACATTCAACGTCGCATTGAGATTGCGTTTTCTATATGCGTATGCTTACTTGAAAGTGGGGTGCGAATTTAAATAAATATAATAGTTTACCTTGAGCAAATAGATCGCCCGTAAATTATGGCCAACATGCAATAATATAGGGTAAACAGAAATGAGGCACAGGCCATTAAACGGCATTTGGTGTCTGGCTTAATGGTAAATAAATTCACAATAATTAAAGCCCCAAATTCCGCTTGAAATTAATAATTGAGCTCATCGATTGCCACCGTGCGAATGTCATCAATATGCAAATGCGTTATGCAATCCAGGAATTATTTCTCTCCCGTTGAAAATGATTGTGTGCCATAATTCGTGCCAAGTGGATTCATTTTGGGTGCCCCTTAAATGTAGGTTTTATCTAAAATATATATACAGTGCTTGGTGTCGGAACTATGTATGAATGTAACTTAACTAAGGGTTGTGCACGAAGCAAATGAAAATGAAATTTAGTTTAAGATGGTTCTTCCTCAAGATGAACTTATGCGATATTGAAGATATCCTAGGTTTATTTTAGTTGTCTCTATCAAATGCAGAAAAAAAGCAAGAGAGGTTGTGGGCTAGTTTACGTTCATATGGTTTATACATTTATCTCGCTATATTTTACTGGATTAATTCCTATATTTTGTGGTATCCGCTTTAAATGCCTTTCGTTTAGTGAGTTCAATGGCGGAATTTACTTTCGATTAAACATTCGTGGTCGTAGAAAAACAAAATTAAAATTTGACTAGAAATTAAATATGAAAATTTAATTTTGTTTTTGTTGCGATTTTTCAAGGATTGGCTTCGTTTGATTTGTGTTAAAACTTAGCTTAAGTAACATGAATAATATATTTCATCGTTCATAGGTAGTTAATATATTTCATTTGTAATTGTAAACATTTGTTTTCGTTTTCGTGTGTTTATTATAATTAAATAACATAACATTAGTCAATTAAAACTAAAAACGCAGTCAATTTATATATTTGGAATTTCATTTAGCATACGCATAAAATACACATAATTCATTCTGGTTTATTAGTGGATTTTGAATATTGAAACACTTATGAACAATGCTACAGTTCCATATTGAGTAAAAACATGCGCAAAAAAGTCTTATTTCGTTTTGCTAAATATATAGAATTTTTTTAATGACGGTTTTTTGCTTGCAGTTATTTTAAATGGCTTATCGGATTGAGGATTGATACACAATCAGCTGATATACAAATACGTAAGTAGTATGTGTATCTGAGGATGGATCGATTTTTTTAAAAGTAAGAAATGAGTAATCAATTTTCAACGATTCGAGACTTTTCTTTTAAAATTTAGTTTTGATTTAAAAATGCAAGGACATTTTTCCTTGGTTTTGGTTATATAAGAGCAGACTTGTCTTTGTTGAACTTAACAGTTTTTGAATATTTTGTTGGGTAATTAGTAAAATTTAGCTCTCTAACAAATCGACCCATCCTAGTGTAGAAATAGATTTCCATTCGTTTTACTTTCGTATTGTTTTGTATAGGATATGCAACTAAATTCACGTCTCACTTTTTGCTTTTACTCTTGTCAGGAAAGGAAAATGTGTCTAGTTTCCCTTCTCGCCTGCTTTTGAGTTTGCCTCAGACTGAATAATACTTTTCCTGGCTTTTTCCTCAGCATGCTCTTCCCTGGGGAGATGCATCGCTTATGACATGGCATTATAGGCGGGTTGTTCGTGTTGTTTGGGACAGCGACCGTGTTTGTCCATGTAGGGGCCGAATTCACAGGTGGGCGGCTTGCAGCGACCTTGTTGTATGCACCTGTTTTTTTTTTTTTGGGGGATAGGAGAAAGTCAGGACTGGGATTTTCATGGGTTGGAGATTTTTGTGGGCCACTCACTTGCGATCGTTCATGGCGAAGTGCTCGTTGCCCCGCTTCAACCAATCGCAGTCATAGTTTCCGGAACTGCAGTCGCATCGACATTGCCCGTCATCCTGCAGGATCTTCTCAAAGCTCTTCGGACAGGTGCAACTCAGTATGGTGGCCCGGACCACCGACTGCCCATAGTTGGCCATAGCTGTGTCCTCGTTATAGGTCGATCGCTCGATGCAATGGCACTCCGTGTGATTCACAAAGGTTCGCTTCTCGATGACACTCCGATGTTTGGTGCTTTTCACCTGCGGGAAATCGGAAAATGGATAAATCATTAATTAAATGCCACAAGCATATCATCATACACATTGCCCATCCCCATTCCCAACGGCTTAATTATGCCGTCCAACTATTTGCATACGGAGCTTGCATAATTGATCCCCGAACTCCATGACGTGCTGCCATATAACACATATATATCATCGTAACTGAACTGGCAGAAGGGAGTTGACAGTTTCCTAAGCTGACTGCTCATCAAACTTGTTGTCATTGTTGCCTTGGCTCGTTGTAAGTCGGTTATTGCTATAGCTCTTGTTATTCTAAAATGAGTTGTCAGTTGTCAGCCAGGGGCTTAGGTGATTGTAGAAATGTATTTAAAGGGCATTTTCATGTCAATTATTTGCTTATGTTCGCGCATTCCAATTAGAAACTATACCAAAATGTATATCATACGGTACTCTACGCTTTATCTCTTTAAAAATCAATTGTAAAACGCGAATTCTTCAGTAAAAGTGAAAATCTGCTTTACTATTTAAACAATTGAATTCTTGATAAGGAATGAAATTGTTTTTATTTTAAACCTTATTTAATTGTATTATATATTTTATTTTTAACTTATAGTTTTTATAAAAGTTATTATCTGACTTACTGAGCATGTTTTTTTATGTTTAATGCTTATATTTAATTTAAATTCACTTTTTTCCGCTGAACCCCCTTTACAAATGGTGTAACGCCACTGGCTGAGAGCCATTAACAGACCACAAAACTTCTACAGCTGCTGAGGCTTGGGATTGGATTGGTCTCGTGTTGCCAGTTTGGTGGCTGGTCTGTAGTTTACATCTCACTCTGGTCCCCCTGAACTCCCCGAAACTGTGGGTCTTGTTGCATGACAAGTGCAAAATGATGAAATGCGTATGAATTGCATAAATTAAGTTGAATTCGTTTAATTAAAATAACAAGTTGGCCATTAATCAAGCCCTGGCCACTCATCCAGTGCAGAGATCTTAGTTCGTAAGAAGAAAAAGAGAAAAGCGAACAAATAACAGGGAAAATATCTCAAATGTTCCAAAAACCTGTGTCAGAAATTTGGAGTCCTGTGAAGCAGTTGAATTTTGATTGGACGCATCAAAGCAGAAAAAACTAACAGACCCAATAAGTTGACAAACACAAAAAAAAAGGGAAAATTCAACCGGTCGTTTTAGGTATTTATGAAATTGCTGCAAATTGAGTTTTTAGCACAGTTCGCTGCGTTTTGTGTTGTGTGGTTTTTACGGTTTACGGTATGGTTTTTTCTCAAATCAAAATGCTTATGAAAATGTAACCTGAAACTTGCAACGAATTGAAAAAGTTTTCCCCCAACCAACACCCAAAATGTTGTGTGCTGCTTTCGTATTCAGAGAGGCACGAAATTCCTTGAGAAATGGGCGTTTTTCCTCACAAAGAGCAACAATAATTGCCGGAAACGGAAGTGGCAAGTGCTGGTGTTGTTACTTTACTTTTGCCCAAACCACAATTGTGCAAAAAATTGCACTAAAGTGCTTCTGCTGTTTCTCAGGCTCAGTAAATATGCAAATCTCAACCTACACACTCGAAAAAAGAAACTAAAAAACATTATTTTCCTAAATTATCAGTCATTAACCTTCTAAAAATCTATCTTGTTGTTGTTATTTAGATTTCATTGACATATCTTATCTCATAAAATGTATTATGAAACAATATTGATTATAGTTTGCTGGTTCTTACAAATATCTAAAATCGTTTGACAGTTTTTATTCAAGTGCATTGCGATGTATAACAATATTGTTTATGAGTACCTTGAGGTGGGGTTGGTAGTTCGGTGGTTTACTTTCCAAGATGGCCTCCCCAATTGATGTTGGGTCTTTATGCATGAAAATGCATTCATAAACCTCTTTTTCACTGCTCTCCATTTCCCTCAAGAGTGTGCGTGTGTGTCCGTTAGTGTCCATGTGTGTGACCCGAGCAATTAGTCAGTTATGGCCCGGTTTGCCAGGGATTTTCCGAGTGGTAGGGTGGGTGTGGGTGGTACAAAGGCAAGCGATTAAACCAGCTCAGTGGCGTGTAAGCATAAAATGTTTTTCCTAAATTTTCAAGCTTTTTCTAGAGGCTTCCTGAGCTGCTGTTTGGCCTCGATACAATGCAATAGGCTTAATTGAGACGAAAAGATGGTGAGGCAGAGTATTTCCTAGGACCTTGTGTTTGCCTACTTTTGGGGAGGAATTTAAAAGCAGTGTTTGTCTAAAAATTATTTTGTATATTCACCTGAGTTACTAATATTTTTGTGCAGGCAAATTGCTGAGTGCCTATCCAATTACTCTATGAACTGGAATTTATGATTTAGCACAATTCAAGCTACTTGAACAATGTGTTCTCAATACATTTTTAAGGACTTGTAAGTTTTCAAAATAAATTATTTGAATTGCAGGGAAAATCGTTTTACCTTGCATTAAATTATTATCAAAACAATGTCCATTCTATCTGAGCTTTGGCATATGAAATATGAACTTTATGAAATTTCTAACGAATTTATGTACTTTGGCAAACCCATGGCATTTCCTGCATCAGCTTCACTTCTTCCCATAACGTTAGTTTTGCATAAATCCAAAGAATGCAGAACTTGCAACTGTCATCAACTTTGTCGATAAAGTTTTAGCAACTAAGGAAACAGCCAAGGGGAGTTAGATTGCGGATGCGGAGAGAGTTTAGTGGAACAAAGGATGTAGGGACAGTTGGGCAAAGAAGTATACCTGTTCTTAATATATGTATTAAAAAGATCAAGTGAATTAAAAATAAGGTAAATGAACCTTAACAAAATATGTCACTTCGGTTACTCTATCTAATAAAAATACAAAGCTGGTCACACTATAATAATGTTATTTAAATAGTTAGTGGAACTTTTTTTTTAAAATAATGAATTTAATAACAAAGCAATTTCAGGAAACCTTAGCATAGGATACATCTTTTAAGAATTTGTTTTAGTTAAAGACCTAATGAAGTGGGTTTCTGAGAGAGGTATGGCTCGAACCATTTCTCATCCATGACGCTCACATCACCGTGGTATTAGAGACGCTTTTCCTAAACTGCAGTGGGGGATACTGGCGCTTACCTTCTGCACCTGTTTACGTGCTCACAATTTGCATTTCCCCACGAATCCCCTAAAAACACACGTGGATGTCTCGTAGTCTGGTTGGGGGATTTGAGCTTCGCAGAATTCCATTACGTAGTTCGAAAACTAGCAAAGGAAGTGTCACAAAAGGGGGTGATTTAACGCTTTCCCCTTTAAAACTTGCATACTTTTTGAAAGCCACCTCTTAACTCATCCCAAGCTTATTATGCAAACGCCTTGGGCTGACCACACTTTGTGCCAAATTAATTAAATCACCGAAGTTCAGTACGGTTGGTATATAAATGTCTATGCACCGAAAAAAAATATTGTACATTTTTTTTTAAAGATATAGAAGTCTGTTTCAATTAGTAATTATGATATAAAAAAGTAAGTTCTTTTCAAAAGATGATATGTTTTAAATATAATCATATAAAGCGGTTATTGGAGTTAACTAAGATGTGATCGAATTCTTATACTTTATAAATATCTAAAATATATCCTCATTATCTACAGATTTTCAAGCTGAAATTAATACAAAAATTATAATACTTAAAGACACTTCTGTAGAACCTGATTCAATACTAATCTTAACTCCAATGCCATAATAATCTGCTTACCAATACTGTTTGTCGCAGAATTGGTCACACATTTTTTTTTGTGTGTAGACCTAGATGCTGGGTATTTAGATGAGGAGTTGGCCATGGAGTTGGCCATTTGCCTGTCAGCCAATTGACTTTTACTTTGGCATCGGCTTGCTAAACAAGCAAAAGTTTTGCCGGGTGTGTGTGTGTTTTTATTATTGCTGCTCGTGGGCGTTGGCTTTCACGTTTAGGAGGCCTTTGATTTCTGCCTTGGCTTTTCTAGCCCCCCGACTCTTCTGCCACCCCCTGTCTCTATACGCTCCTTTTTTACTTGGGTGAAAGTGGAGGGCATTGAACCCGAAAAAGAGAATTCAGGAGGCGAAGAAAGGAGAGGAGACCGCCTCATAAATCTCACAGCTCTTACAACATGTGCTGGAGTTTGTTATGGTGTGTGTTTTGGGGGCAGGGACACAGGGAGAGGCCATTGCCCTTTGCAGACTGCCACAATGCAGAATAACCCACTCCCCCGATCCTCGTTAGCATTCCCTTTCTGCCAGAAACCTTCCACCAAATGCAAAAATTTGCGCAACATAAATTATGTTTTGTTAAAATGTTTACGCTTTTTATCGTGCTGCCGTTGTTGGTTGCATCCTCAGCCTGGTTATCGGTCCTTAGCCCTCCTACACCCCCACCCACTTTAACCTTTTTCTACACAGAGAAAAAAGGGTCCTCATGTTTTAAAAGGTTCATTACTTTTTACAAAAAGGGGTATTTTTGATATCAAGTAAGTTGAAATTCTAAATTTTATCCTAAGAAAATAGCATAGGTATCACAACTACATGTATTATAAGTTTTTTTTTATTACACAAAGGTCCCATTTTTTATCATTATAAAATGTTGTTTTTAAGTAATCAGAAATGACCATATCTATAAGAATTGAAATTATCATTTAAAATTTATCCAAGAAAAAAACCTAGTTATAACAACTACATGTATTATAAGTCTTCTTCTTTTAATATTCCACAGAGATCCCATTATTTAACCTTTAAAAAATGTTGTTTTTAAGTATTTAAAAACGATCATATCTGTGAAAGTTAAACTATAGTTTAAGTAAATACAAAAAAATTATTTTAAAAATGTGTCCAACTGAAATAAATTGTGTCATATTTTAGACATTGTGGTGATTTCTCTCAGTGCAGCTCTTCCTTTTCAGCTCTCCAGCTGTGTGTCGGCGTATGTTTGCCTGCCACTTGACACCTCTCAATGACAAACCGCTGAGTTGCTCCCTCCTGGCAGATTCTCCTCCAGCTTCCTTTTCCTCCGGACTGCCCTGCTCCTTCATCCTGTACAGCTTCTTCTTCTTCTTTTTCTTTAGAGGCTGATATTTTTTTTGCATATGTGTGTCTTTAAGCTTTAGTACTACCAACAGCTTTGGACACATAGCTTCAGCTTCAGTTTCCTGCTTTTTCCTTGGGCAGAAATATTTTTTATACCTTTTTTGAATGATGGCCAGAGTCAAGGGAAGAGGAAAAGTGTGCGAAAATAGGACGAAAATTGGGATAAGGGGAGGAAAAAGCCAACAACGATGGACACCAAGAGTTCCTTGGGGCCATACACTCTGCTGCCGGCTGATTCCACTGAGCTTGTCATGAAGTTTGCTCATGCCAAAAAGGAACAAGTTTATTTTGGGGATTTCCCAGAAACTATTTGCATACTAAAACTGGCTTTAAGGCCGGCTTACTACGTCCACAATTTAGGCAAATGAATGTTCCAAAGACGGGTAAAAGGTGGTGGTATCCTTGGTTCTGGTGACCACACAAATCATTTCCAATCAATTGCTTTTGCAATTCTTAAGTAGATTTCTTTAAAGATTTCTGAGACACCCCCAATCGTGTTAACTTTATTTCAAATAACCACATATTAAATCTATCCACAGTTTTATACCGAGTTTCTTTATCGATTAAATATATGAAGTCTCATATCTTATAATACTCTATTGCCAAGAGTTATCTCAAGATATTTTCGGGCTAATCTTGTCCCTCGTAACTTTCCCATTAATTTTAAATGCCTCCTCCGTTCCGCTTATCTATCAAGTGTATCTCATGGGTTTTTTGCTCGAGTGGCGAAAATGTTAAATTGCCGTACAATAATTTGTGTGGTTTTGCTTCCAAGTTTTATTGGATAATTAAGAGGGGCGAGTTAACTTGACTCCTGCGACGCCCTTTTTCTATATGATGTGGGTCCATGTGTGGGCGTGTTTGCCTTGTTCTCAAGCATTTTGCGGTTCTGTCTGCCCCAGACTTTGGGACCTCTTCTGTCTCAGAGTGTGTGTGAGCATAAATCTAGCAAGTGGAAACTTTTTGCGGCAAGCGCAGCATAAATATTTGAAAATTAAAAGCCATCCTAGGAGCTCGGAGTTACTGCCTCGAAGGCCCCTAATAAAAAAGTTGCAGCTGCAAAAACGACGCTGTAGGAGTGAAATTTATGAAAGTTGTGTAAGAAAAGAAAAAAGGAGGAGGAAAATCAGCACCCTACAAAGTCACTTATAATGGAAAACTAAGCACATAGTGGCGGAACTTACAGGACCAGCAAAAACAAATTACTTTTACTTCTAAAACCTTCTAACAGCATTGGAAATTTCTTAAAAAATGTTTGGAGTTGTTTTTTTTTATATTTTTACTTTTTTATATAATAATTATTAAATTCCCAAGTCCAGAAACAATCTTTAAATAATCCTACAAGCCTTACTCATTTATATTAAATGAATCCACAACTCGATTCCTCGAATTGGATACCATCCATCACAGCGCCAGCAATCCAATCTGTAGCATATTAAAATTAAGCAAAATGCGTTTCCTGCCCCAGAGCAAAGAACAAATGCTTAATTACATTCTCGATTTCAACATGTATTGAAAGCTCGTTACGTAACAAAAAGACAGCCAGAACAATGACGGCAACGGCAATGGCAGCAACAACGAGCAGCAATAATCATATCATGAGGCATAAATCACCAAACAAATTGAATTATCATTGCGTCATTAAAAAGTCATTTCAGCCGAAAGCCCACGGTGGTAAAGAAGTACTACAATAGCACACAAAAAATAAAATGAAAATAAAGGTGAAACGATATAATTATGTTGCAATATGGCGCCCTCAAGCATGACCTACGCCCACAACAACACAAATAAAAACAACAACAACGTCAATTACCGTCGAAGGTAGGATCGCAAGTGAAAGAGACGGAAACATTCAAAATGAAAGAGACAGAGCATCGGTACTTAAAAGTCACAAAACGCGAGCAAAGCGCACACGCTCGCTTTCAAAAACCTTAAGCTTTCAGACAGGCAAGGGCGTGCCCCATTAAAGGGAGTCAATAAAAAGAATCATACACTAAGTACCTGGTACTTAAAAATGTGAAGTGAAAAAAAAAACAGGAAAATGTGCTCAGCAATAGTGATATAATATGATGATAATAGTACCTAATATCCTTCTGATACATTTCTACAATATGAGAAAATTTTTGAATATTAAAAATATTCACCCTAATTTTTGTAAATAAATATTATAACACTTATTTTTTTAAATATTAGGAGGGTTTAATATTTAAATCTATACTATATAGAACATTTTTTAATTTGCAGAAATTTTTTTTCAGTTTTGCTAAAGTGTTAAAATATTAAAATTGAATCAAAATGTATCAGATATTAAGAGATTTACGAGTATATGATAGGACTCTAGGCTTATCTTAAGAATTAGATGTCAGGACTTGAAATATCTTGTTTATTTCGTTTTCTTCTTTAAATGAGATGAAATGCGAAAAACTTTTTCAACATTTTATAGCCTTTATTAATGGGCTTAAGCCATGTACAAGTGTACCTAATAATATTTTAAAACTTTTCTGTTGTACTCACAAAGAAATGCAGCTCAACATTGTGGGTGCTCTTGGCGGCACAGATTTGGCTTCTGCTCGGACAACACCCACTGTCCTCGCTGCAGCGATGCAGAATGGTACAGTGGGGCGTGTAGATCTTCGAGGGGTCCTGCTGGACCAGCTGGCAGCGTTTCTGGGGGATCCGGCAGGTGGCCTCCTTCAGCACCTGGTTCATGTGGGCGTGGGCAAGGGCTGAATGGGGGAAAACAGCCCAGTTAGTTAGCTTTCGAAGTTTTTTATCCCCTGGGATTATCTCACCTCTCTCACTTTTCAGCTTTTGGGCGTGCAGTCGTCTCGCTTTCATCGCCGCTTCGGGGGTTCCCAACTGGACCTCCTTCTTCTGGGCCACCCCTCCAGCTATATAGTTGCGTGCATAAATGTTCTCCACATCCTGGAAAGGAAAATAGGGTTGGGCTCGGCTTTAGTTATGCTAATTGATGGTTTTGTTTTATGTTCATTTTCATTTTCATGCCCATTCCGCTTTTTGTCTAGCGCTCCCCCCCCAGATCATCACTCACATTACGCATACGCCACCGGTGCCGCAGCCATAAAAGTCGCTCACATTAATAAAGCCCCCATTTGTGCCGTGTGATGACAATTTGTCACCATTTTTATTGTCCATAGAAGGCAGAAAGTTGTGGAAGGGGAGGCAAACACAGATTGAGGTAACATGCCAGTGTAACGTTAACGAGAAGTTGGTACCGTAAACAAAATGTTGGGCCAGCTGAAGTTCATAAACTAAGAATTCATGTGCACGCAGACGGCACAGAAAGCTACAGTAATATAAACGACAGCAACAGGAGTAACACGAACATTGAGTGCATTGCAAGATGACAGTTGAATACCCTTGTATTTTTTTATATTTATATTTTTATATTTATATTTATAAAATTATTAATATTTCTTTTTTATTATTAGGCATAGTCATAACTTTTAAACAACACTTTTATGAATATCTTCTTCTGTTAACTTGAATGTTATGTATTGGCTATTATAACTTGAAGACTTTTTTGGAAAATATAAACTTTTAGACAACTACTTATCTATACTCCAAACTTTTAAATTGATATAAGTGTTCAGTATCATATAGGACGGGAAATGATCTTAAAAAATGTTTAGCTTTTAGTTCCTTTCAAACCAGCACTGAAAATATACAGTTCCTATAAACATTATACTACTCTTATAAGGCAACATCCTTTTTCGATGTAAAATACATATATTTATATTATTATTTCGAATTTTGTATTAATTAAGTATTTTTTTGTTTTTAGAAGGATTTGGTCTTATGTTTCTATATGCTTTTAGTACTTGATCTTCACAAACGGCGTTACCGAATCGCTCTACCTTGACCCATAGAGGCAGAACAATGGGCACATGAAACAAATTGGCATCCAAGGCAATAAATACGACTGCGAGAACAATAGAGAAGAAATTGTCGGACATGGACATATAGCGATGCTCAGGGAAAAAAGGAAGTCAACCTGGTCGGAAGGCAGCACAGGAACCAGAACCAGAACCAGAACCAAAAAACCAGGCCCAGTCAACCACGAATTGGAAGCGAGACGGAATGAAGTAAAAATGTTGACCAATGCGCACAATTGGCAATTTGTGAAGTTAAGCGAAATTAATGAGCTGGCTGCGGCCATAGCTCTTGCACATACAAAGAAATATATGTATTAAAGTGCAAAGATATATAGGCGGTGTTGGTAGGAACGAAAAATCGTAAATTGTCCAAATGTGGGTGGGCCAAATGGCTAAATAAAAGACCAACGTTCTGGGGTTCGAGGGCCTGTTCATTAGTCACACATTGAGCATATATATATATGTATTATATGTTTGTATGCTACAAGGTGCTCAAGAGCAATTGGCATAAATCTTCGTCTTTGGCATTTGTGCGTTGTATTGTATTGTCCCAGTCCCAGGCCCATTCTCATTTTCATTTGGGGGCTTAGCATTTCTGGTCCATTTGCTTTTGGCCGAAAACAATGGCTCTTTGATGTTGGTCAATGATTTTTAGCGGTTTAACCTTGGGGCTTATGAATGGGTCCCCCATTGTTGTTCTCCGATGGCTCAAGGATGGCGAGATGGGCTTCGAAGGGGCGGTGAAAAGCCTGTCAAGAATGTGGCGCTAATGCCTAATATTATGGCCACTTGACCTTTGCTTAACGACCAGGTGGATTCAAACTCGCATTTGCCCAATGGGCAGCATTAAACGATAATGCAACTTGATTGAAGTGTTTCTGGTGAATTCTTCCGAAAAGGAAGTTTCCGCTTAAAGGAATTACGGATATTACATACCGGAAAAGCCCAATTTTTTTTCTTTTTCACATTTACATATGTATATGCCGTTTTTAAATCATAATAAAATATACGAGTATTATAAGGATGCGTATAAAATATACACACTTAAGAAAACCTCTTTCCAAATGCTTTAGCAGGGGGCACCAAACACCCTGGTAGAGTCGCTTGACCCGCATACTTTCGTTTTCCCCTTCTTCCAAGCCGGGTGCATTGCAATTAAATTTGTGTTTTTCCAGCTCCCTTTTCCACAGATTTTCCCGCTTTTCCGCCCAACTGTGGACGACACTTCAGTCTGTGACGTTGGCTGAGAATTTATCACCTTTCGGGTCTCTCCTCGTTTGTCAACTTTATTCAATTTTGAAAACTGCACTGGCAGCCAGAAAGGAGATATGGAGAAAGGGGATATGCCCGCCAAGCAGCCTTCACTTTCATCAAACTTCTGGCATTTGACGCCGCGCTGGCTGCTTATTAAAAACTCAAACGCCCCTCGAGGAGAGCTTCTGCTCTTCTATGGCAGCCGAGCCCCCACCCCCTCCCCCTGTTTTCCACCCCGCCAGCAGACACTTTGCTGTCGAGTTGAGTGCTGAAATATTGCAGCCTCTGTGGGGGATCCCCCCGATTCCCAGGCCACTCCTGTCTGGTTTGCTCCGTCTGCTGCTGTTTGTCATATTCCATTCCACAGCCGAGTGGCAGTTTGATGGACGGAGCGGAGGCGAGATGGGTGCACGGAGAAAATTCTAAACATCAAGGAAGTCTAAAGTTTTAACCATTAAACGTTAATACAGGAAATTGTGTGAAAATTAAATCCCCAAAAAGCTAAGAGAAGAACTCTCAACTTTTTTATTGGAATATTTTTAGTATTTCCTAGTCAGAAACAGAAATCTTTTAAGTTATTTTAAAGCCCAAAGAAATCTGTAGTTTGAACCATATGACAGCTTATCCAGAAAAATATTTTCAATTTAATCTATCAAGACAGAAAGGATTTGTATGGACTTTTATAGCTCAAAACTTCCTTAGTAAAATGTTTAAAATGTTCCTTAGTCTAAGGCCGAAATAGTTTAAATTATTCTAAAACTCAATTTATAATAAAAATTATGAAATTCATGTGTTATTCTAACCTATGTTACATAAAAAGACTATTTGAAGTACGATACCGTTTTTTCGCACGTAAAAATAAAATTCTAATCTGAGGTTTTCAAATATTTTAAGGCCGGCGAAGAAAATGTAAGCTACATTAATAATTTCTCCCAGTGTAGTATCGCAAATTGGAGCATAACAAGTATCCTAGATATCAAATCAAAGCAGAATGCTTTTATTTATTAGCCGTATGCAAAATTGACTCGGTGGAGAACAGGGGAAAAACGGGTAAGAAAAATGAAAATTCCAGTTTGGAGTGATTTGAAAATTGTTTGAATTGAATTTTCTTCCCCATTTCGCGCTGCATACTTTCGGGGTGTTCATGTCAAATTGCGCATACGCCGCGTGTGACAAGCAGAAATATTTTAAAATTTATTTGCATAGAAAACCCGAATAAAAAGCCAGATAAAAGCGATTCAACCTCAAAAGTGGAAAGAAAAGTTTTGCATTGAAAAGTTTTTGTTCTGGAAAATGCACATACGGAAGGCACTCGCAAAAATGTTTTGGTTCACTTGGGTAATTGTTGTTTACTCATCGCCCACAGCTCGCCCTCTCTTTCTCTCGCCAGCAAGCCGTCTCTTTCTGCGGATTGTTACCTGTATTTGCCTTGATGCGTTCTGTTGCATATAAATTGTATTTGTTGAACTTTATAATGGCAATGAAGTTGATGTTTTCACGAAGCAATTTGCAACAACTTCTGTCTGTCTGCCTCTTTCTATTTCCTGTTTTCCTTCTCCCTCTAGCTCTTTTCTTATTGCTCCGCTTTTCGCACACAACTTCTGCCAAGTTTTCTTTTGAGGCTGGGCTCATAAATTTTTATTATGAATGCACATATTTTTCCCGGCATCAGTTGCAATCTCTCTCTATCTCTGTGTTCTGGTCTCTCTCTAACCGGCTATTGCCGTCTCTTTCGCGTTGTGGCGTCTGTGGTGCAAATATGTGGCTCACTTGGTGGCCGAGTTTGCTGCGGTTAATATGCATTTGGCAGCTATTATGGCCTTCCACCATAAATATTGCCCCCGAAAATGATAACTTGTGTGCCATAAATTAAATGGCCAAATAGCGTTGGCTTTAAGCATACATTTCTTTTAAATTTCTTACACACAATATAATATTGCTTCCTTTTTCTTAACAATAACTTGCGGCATTTATAATTTAATTAAAACAATTCCCACACTTTCGTCAGCACACACGACCACTTCTTATTTGCTTTATACATGATTTTAACCTTATTTATGTTGTGCCTGGCTCAGCATTTACGCAAATTTCCCAGGTGCCTTATTTTTCATTCAACAGCAACAGCCATACTCGTAAAATCCAACAAGCCGAGTGTGCTGCGAAAAAGGCAGCTTAAAGTCCTTTAAGGCCAACAGAGAATGAATTATAAATGATAAACCGACTGAACGGTGGCAACCTTTAGCAGTTGAACAACGGATCCGTCCTTTGGGGGAAATATATGCTTTACATATGTATATTCGTTTATACTTTTACGGTTGCAGAGAGTCGTGCCGTTTTAAGCCATAATTGTTGATCAAGTAAAAATTAAATAAATATAAATAATATCATACGTTTAATCAACAAAAATGTTTTATGTTTTATTTTGTTATAAAAATGGTTTAATATTGCTTGCTGCGTCAAAAAAATTCAGAAATCTATGCTATACTGCAAGTTTTAAGAACATAACAGTACCTATAAATTGGTATTTCACTGTTTGTGATATAACTAACTAGTGACCTTCGTCACTACGCAAAAACACCCTATACTTAACAGTTCGATACATAACTCAAGAATTTGATTTCCTATGCCTTTTTATTACAAAAAAAATTAAGGGATCATTAATATTATAAAGTAGCTTTATTAAGTAAGTACTAAATAAAACAACAAGTTCTTTTAAAAATAATTTCGGAAAATTCATTTGTTGTCAGAAAACGGGATGGGTTTTTACAATTCTTC